AGAACTGATTTTATGGTGTTAAAGCCTTTAGCTTTCATTGGGCAGATATATAAAGATAAGTATATAATTGTTATACGTTACACTATAAGAATATCTTGCAAATAATTAGATTTGTTTGTAAATACAAAGCGGCGCTCCGGAACCAGGGACAGTGATTTTCTGTGGTGGTTAAGTTATTCTTTCTGTGATTTAACGTGATTATAAATAAAAATTTATTTATCAAAATTTTCCTAAACCATATAATTCCGTAATTGTCCGAGGAACACGCTCATAATTTACGTTAATTTAGTGTCTACCTTTCCGGGAGTTCCCGACGCTCATAATTTACGTTAATTTAGTGTCTACCTTTCCGGGAGTTCCCGACGCCCGGCCTGAATTTATTGACCAACCCCTACAATATTTTATAATTCTGTGGTATTTTGCGCATTTTGTAGAATTCTGTGACATTCTGTGGTGACTAAGGGTGATTTTTGTAGTTGGCTGTGATTAAAAGAAATTCTGTGGTTTTCTGCGAAACACAGAAAATCACTGTCCCTGTCCGGAACCCAACGGATCCCGTTTTCCTAGTTTTATAATTAGGCCCGGCTCAAAAATAACACCAAAATCTATAATGATAAGTATTCTATAATTTATAACTATATACATACGTATTCAATTCTTAAAATTTAAATCAATTTTTATGCGCATTTCCTAATTTAACATAGCGATACGTAGTATGAAATAAATATAATATATAGTAACACAATTTCCTAATTACATATTAATCCTAACATCTGTTTCATGATTTGATTTTATTTCATCAACCTCTTGTTTTGATGCATTTATTTTTGCTTGACCGTTTTCTGAAATTGTTTCTGGATTTTTTGCCGCTTTTTTTATTGCCTTATCCCACCAATCTTTCATGTCTTTACCATCTTTCTCAATAGATGTTGTACCACCATGTTTCTTAATAAAATCTAATTCCAACTCAATATATTTGCATAAGTTTTCTAATTCTATATCATTTGGATCTTCACCGAATGGATTTTCGATCTCATCTGCGATCTCATCGACTCCTAGTAAGATAAATGAGGTCAAAAATACTATAGGCACAGTGGCCCATCCAAGGTCTTCAACTAATTGGAATGGAAGTGATATACAAAATATCCACGTAGTATGCAAAAGATGAATGGCGTATGCATAATGAATTGGTGATCTGAGAACTTTCTCTAGGTTTGTTAAGCACTCCACGAGTGAGCTTACTCTATCGTACATCATACCGATTATCGCATCATCTGTTTTATTGGCTTTATCGGTATTATCCACTTGATTATTTACTTCATCTTTATTATTGGCTTTATTGTTATTATTATCCACTTGATTATTTACTTCACCTTTATTATCCACTTGACTTATGTAGTAATTCAAGTACAAGGCAATCTCAAGTGGCAAATTATAATCAATTATTTGACGGAATTTGCGCAAATTTCTATTTTTTAACACCTTTTTCCTATATAGTTTGTTTATTCCACGTACATTGGGCTTATAAGTTTTCATGCATCCAGTTTCATTATTCTCAGATTCACCTTTCGATACAGGCTTTACAGCTTCTCTATCGACTATTTTCTCCAGATTTAAATAAGTCGAATAGTCACCATCTTTATAATGTATTTCTCGAAGGAAATCCTTAGTGGCAGATGCGAATCCTTTCAAGAGATCAAAGACAACTTCCTTTTCGGCATTCATTTTTCTCTTAGGTGGAACATTTACAAGAACGAATCGTGCAAGATCTCTGATCTTTGTTATCATAGTTGCCCATAGACATCTTCCTTCCCAATACCTTTAAATATAATAATGATAACTTAGTATCTAACAATTTATCTATGTAAATGAATAATAATTGTCGGGGATGAAATTTGAACGATGACAAAAATTATTCATCTGATTGGATGATCAGCCAATAAGGTTTTAAATTTTCATCAATAATCCCCAACAATACAATGATGTAATACAGTAATGAATACCTATCATAGGCTCTATTGGTTCTATAAGCAAGCAAAAGAGACACAACAAAAGTAATGACGGTAACGAAATCCGGTTTAATTCCAAGCTTGATACCTATACGATCCCAAAGTGCGACAACCAACACCGAAAGAGCTGTAATAGCCAATGTTCGCAAAACGACTCTTCTGATTATCGTCTTCTTGAATATTTCCAAAAGCGGTGAATCATCATCAGCATATGGGGAGAACATTTCCTCATATTCCCTATCTTCTGGTTCATTTTCCATAACTTCCGACATTTTTTATTAATAATTGGCAGGCGAATTCTTTCTTATTTGAATTTAATACAAAATGAAAAAATTATCGATCGCAACTTTTGATTATTAGAAATTTATATATTTTATATATATATATATATAATTTTTTTTTAATGTTTTGAAAATGAAATTAAAAGCTGGTTACTGAGTTATTTTTTAAAATTTTACACCTTTTATAAACACCTTTGAAAGACTCATATTGACTCGGAATTTAAATTTTATTTTCATTTTGTGCTTGTGAATGCTGATTAAATACGATTTTACGTTTCGTTATTAATATTATCATAATAATACTAACATCCTTACAATCGGAATCTATTCGGCTATCGAATATTCCGAATATTCTGCTATCGATTATGCAAGTACGTACGTACTTTAATTCTTTTGTCATATTTATTGTAGCCAAAAAGCCAAAATAAAGTTTCTATTGCCAATTTAGGACATTGTTTTATTAATTATGCCCGTAGATGATACTGATTGATGGCGAAATTTCAACAATCCCGTATTGTAAGAGATCCGCAGTATCTAAAAAATTCCCTATACATCGAACATTAAAAAATTGCATCCTGTGAGTAAAATTTCACGCTGAAAACTTTTACTTAGAGGTCGAAAGTTAGTTGTCATAGTAAATTGTTGTGTTATTTACGTTTTTTATGTTTTTTTGCGTTTGGTTTGTTACACAAGATCCCGTAATTTTATTGGATCCGGACAAATCTTCAGCCCGGGATTTTTTTGACATAAGGATAAAAAAAATACAGCTGACATCACTTGTAAATATAGTTGCGGACATTTAGGTGGTTATTTTTTTACGTCACCTTTACGTCATATAAAATTTATATAAAATTCATAAGTGATCCATTTCTAGATCATTTGGCAACAATCATATAATGATAAAGTTGAGTAATTACGTAAATTAAGAATCATACAAAATACTATATGAGTGCTGCAAAGCGAAAACTTGCAATTTTGGTTTTTGCCGGCTCCGCTTTTCAGAAACAGTGATCAGATTCCTATAATAAATTCTATTTAATGAATAATGTGTCTGATAAGTCGTTTCTATAAAATTGATTTCGAAAAACTCACAATTGCAGGTTTTCCCTTTGTAGCACTCATATGTACAATTGGAGGTATAGCGCCAGCTGTATTTTTTTTTTTTATGGCCGATGCTAGGGCTGTTGTACCCCGCATGTACAGTATAATTTTCTCCACCACTCTTATCAATCACTTCCATATGGAGTATCTATGTTATCAATCAATTTTACGGTACTCCGATAGTGAAGTGATGGAGAAAATTAGTAAAACCCCGTACGTACCTGATAAATCAATTGAAAAAAACGTATATTATTTTGAAAGACTGCCGATCTTTTTATTTTCTTTATACGTTTAGTTGCTAATCCATGATAAATTCTATCATATTAGAATTTGTATTTAAATAACTATTAATATATTAGTATATATACGTATGAAATGTTGTACTTATAATAACTTTAGACAATATTCTAATACGCACGTATGTACGTACGTACATACAACTAAACCCTTTGATCAAAACGCCAACATGTTTGTGTAACGAACAAAACTTTCGTTATTGTGGCATTCAAAAATAGTAATTGACTCGTTATTTGGGTATTCAAGAATAGAAATCGATTACGGTTTGTAAATACCGATACAAAGTTCTTCACGTATATGCGATTACATAAACCGTTTAGATCAATGCATCTGCGCATCTTAAAATAATTACACGAAAATTAAGTAATTATTAGGATAATCATTAAAATTCTTAAATGTTCTAAAAATTTCGAAATGAACCTAAAAGCTCGTGATTCGATAAAACCCGATTAAACAAAAATACGTATACAATACACTCTCATCGGTTATCAGATTTAAGATACCAATGGCCCTGGTCACATGATTATAAATAAATGTAATTGGCCAGATTATATTTATTATTATATATCTACTTGGTCACACAAAGCTCGACCTGAGCCAATCAAATAGATTGATAATACCTGACAAACCCGATATCTTATAGGTATCTGATCTTTTTAGTATTGGTTATCAGAAATGGCAGGTTATCGGGTTTCAATTATGGAACAGACATGGAACAGGTGCACCATTCAAATTCGTAGATGATTCCTATACAATTACACGTGATTGTCAACCAATCATATCTCAAGTTTTAGCAAATCGGCCAATCAGATTACAAAAAAAAGTTGTGGGATTCACGGGGATTCA